GATCGTCCAAACCTTGTTACTGATTGTGGTCTAATAGATCGTCCAAATCTTGTTACTGATTGTGGTCTAATAGATCGTCCAAATCTTGTTACTGATTGTGGTCTAATAGATCGTCCAAATCTTGTTACTGATTGGGGTCTTATAGAACGACCAAATCTTGTTACTGCTTGAGATCTTATAGATCTTCCAAATCTTGTTACCGATTGTGGTCTAATAGATCGACCAGACCTTGTTACTGACTGAGGTCTAATAGATCGTCCAAATCTTGTTACTGACTGAGGCCTTATAGATCGTCCAAATCTTGTTACTGACTGTGGTCTAATAGATCGTCCAAATCTTGTTACTGATTGGGGTCTAATAGATCGTCCAAATCTTGTTACTGATTGTGGTCTAATAGATCGACCAAACCTTGTTACTGACTGAGGTCTAATAGATCGTCCAAATCTTGTTACTGACTGAGGCCTTATAGATCGTCCAAATCTTGTTACTGACTGTGGTCTAATAGATCGTCCAAATCTTGTTACTGATTGGGGTCTAATAGATCGTCTAAATCTTGTTACTGATTGTGGTCTAATAGATCGTCCAAACCTTGTTACTGACTGAGGTCTAATAGATCGTCCAAATCTTGTTACCGATTGTGGTCTAATAGATCGTCCAAACCTTGTTACTGACTGAGGTCTAATAGATCGTCCAAACCTTGTTACTGATTGTGGTCTAATAGATCGTCCAAATCTTGTTACTGATTGTGGTCTAATAGATCGTCCAAATCTTGTTACTGATTGTGGTCTAATAGACCGTCCAAATCTTGTTACTGATTGGGGTCTTATAGAACGACCAAATCTTGTTACTGCTTGAGATCTTATAGATCTTCCAAATCTTGTTACCGATTGTGGTCTAATAGATCGACCAAACCTTGTTACTGACTGAGGTCTAATAGATCGTCCAAATCTTGTTACTGACTGAGGCCTTATAGATCGTCTAAATCTTGTTACTGACTGTGGTCTAATAGATCGTCCAAATCTTGTTACTGATTGGGGTCTAATAGATCGTCCAAATCTTGTTACTGATTGTGGTCTAATAGATCGACCAAACCTTGTTACTGACTGAGGTCTAATAGATCGTCCAAATCTTGTTACTGACTGAGGCCTTATAGATCGTCCAAATCTTGTTACTGACTGAGGTCTAATAGATCGTCCAAATCTTGTTACTGACTGGGGTCTAATAGATCGTCCAAATCTTGTTACTGATTGTGGTGTAATAGATTGACCAAACCTTGTTACTGACTGAGGCGTTATAGATCGTCCAAATCTTGTTACTGATTGTGGTCTAATAGATCGACCAAACCTTGTTACTGACTGAGGTCTAATAGATCGTCCAAATCTTGTTACTGACTGAGGCCTTATAGATCGTCCAAATCTTGTTACTGATTGTGGTCTAATAGATCGTCCAAATCTTGTTACTGATTGGGGTCTTATAGACCGACCAAATCTTCTTACTGATTGAGGTTTTATAGATCGACCAAATCTTGTTACTGATTGTGGTCTAATAGATCGACCAAATCTTGTTACTGATTGAGATCTTATAGATCTTCGAAATCTTGTTACTGATTGTGGTCTAATAGATCGTCCAAACCCTGTTACTGACTGAGGTCTAATGGATCGTCCAAATCTTGTTACTGACTGGAGCCTTATAGATCGTTTAAATCTCGTAACTGATTGAGGTCTGATAGATCGTCCAAATCTTGTAAGTGACTGAGGTCTAATAGATCGTCCGAACTTTGTAACTGATTGAGCTCTGAGAGAAGGTATACCTTTTTTAACTGGTTGACGCCTTGGTAATTTTGCAAATGTTTTCAGTGACTTCGAGGCAATAGTCTCTTCATCTCTTTTCCATTGGTTGCTGTCTCTATTTTTGGACACTTGATCACCATTCCGTCTCAATAAGCTGCTGCTGTTAATTTGATTTGAAATTCTCTCGTTTGGATCAAATAATTGCAACCCGCGATAGTGTGTTCTGGTAGTAGTGGAAGGTTTTAACTCCACCTCCGCAAAGGTACATAGAAAAGCCAACAGTCTCCACAGAAATACGACTTGAATGTGCCAAAACATTTTCATAATAAAAATGACAAACTTACGTTTAAAAATATACTGTACTAGCAATAATGTGCTGGCACTTGATTTTTGATTTGGTTGAGCAGTGATGATTCTAGGCCCGTTTTATTATGTTTTGGATGAACGACAATCAATTTTCAGCTGTACGCATGAGCGCATTTTAGGATTATTAGCGAACTGATTTCATACTACTCTACGTCGATTTACCTTACCTTGTCTATCATAGTACCATGACAATAGCGCACATTGGACGTCACGTTACTGTGTTTGAGACACTGACGCAATCATCTTACCACACGAGAAAGGTGTGACGACACGAAGCGTACTTAATTTAACAGTTAAACCTTAATCAACAAACGAAAATTATCCATGTATAGATCGCTTAGTCTTTAAGGTTTACCTTATGTTTGTGTTAGGAACGAAAAAACAACAATTTCAGAGTCGGTAAATATTAAGACGGAATACATGACGAAATTGAGTGATTTTAATTTTTAGTGTATAAAAGAACATGTATCAGAATTTTTTAAGCCATGTCGCATTCGTTCTTACACTTCTCAAGGACAAAAGATATAATTAGTTATCTGTAATAAAAGAAAAGACAAGTTCTTATCAGAGCCCGAGGAAATAAATTTCAAACTTCTCAGGAATTGAGAAGACACAGGTAAAATTGTCATGCGTAAAATTTCATTTTGTGAAATTTACAGCTTTCGAATTTTGTTTTCTTGGGCTCGACCCATAACAACCTTTTCTTTGGAGTTTATTTCTTTCTCGAAAAATGTAAAAAAAATACAATATGATTGAAATTAATCTGGTACAAGGTTTAAAAATCAAAATTAAACTTACTCAAAAATTACTCAATTTCTTAATGGATTCCGTCTTAAAAAAGGAAATGATTTCAAACTGTTAAATATGCCGGTAGTAATTGTAACATAACGCAACAAACGTTGAGAGACAATGTAATGCAACATTATTTAGATGGATTATAAAGTTCGAACAGCAGGAAACTCCCTTTCAAGGTCTTCTTATTGATAAAATTTTGTTTTGTTGTATTCTTAGGAGATAAAATAATCATTTTTTATGAACTACTCAGCTGCCTAAAGTTGCTTCGATGTTTCTGTCAGCTTGGCAAAAGAAAACACAGCTGTATGTCCAGTATCTGTGTAAAATGAATGTAGACGATGTTATTACAAAGACAAGTAACCCGTTTTAGTCGCTTAACACTTCAAGTCCTTAGTGTGACCAACATCAGTTTTTCTCCTTACAAAAACAATACACCAATAAGAGAAAACTTAAAATGATTACAAAAGCCGGCAAATGCTCCATCTTTAATCAAATTTCTCCAACTAATTCTGTAAGAAAACGTGTTTATTCACTACAGAGAAATTATCGGGGGCACCCAACGACTGCTTTCGAGAAAATACATGTTCGGAGAAACAAATATTGCCAAGAATTTCCTATTATCTAAGGACGACTCAAAATTAATAGATGATCGTTCAATTGGTGTACCTACCCATGTAATCCCCCCTAACCTAACATTAACTTTTGGTTCTTATTTTGGACAAAATGTTTGGTTCTTATTTAGGACAAAATGTTGGCGTAGGGGAGGGGTAGGTGGTCAGTTTCCCAGAAACCTAAATTGATCCATTTTTTCTTCACAAAGAGGAAACCTAAAACCTAGGGCGCTTTCCATTTAGGAAAAAAAAACGGAAATTTCGGTGGGAGCAAAAGTGGAATTTCCGATTGATAAAAAGTTGTTCCATTTGGCCTTAAACCCCGGTACGTCGCGGTGTGCCCGACCGTGGACCTGGAACTGGTACAAACTACGAGAAACGTAAATGGAACACGACATTCCGTTCGGAAATTCCAGCCGGGAAAACGAGCCCACCTTTTTAGACTTTCCACTTTTTCTGGGAATTTTCCAGTGGGACGAACCGACGAAACGTGTTCCATTTACCGCCGAACCAGAAATTCCGGAATTTTTGACTAAATGGAAAGCGTCCCTAATTCCCAGAGGAGAGAAATGGTTTTGTTCTTGACCACCAACATGGCCGCCCTGACGTAACGTGCAAACCAGCATGTGCTTCTGTAAAAGCTATCTCATTTTCCACACTCAATTTTGGTTGCCTAGCTAGAAAATTGATTCACTGACACGGAAGAGCGAGGGTACTAGATCCGGTTTCGTGAAGAAACTCTCTTTTCTGCGACCATTCTTCTTGTACAGAGCGTTTTCACTCACGTGGCCAGCATCTATGCAAAGTTATTGAAAAAAAGCAAGCGTTTACAGAATAAAAGAGTTCGACTCTCTCAGGATTTGTTTGGAACACCAACAACGCCGCCATTTCATTGTTTTGGATCACCAATACGGCCGCCGAAACGTCACTTGAAAGCCCTCTATAACAGGATAGTGCACAACACTAGTGACTGATTGGCAAAATGCGAATTATCAAGTATAGAAATGACACGAAGAGTATGAGGAAATCCTTCGAAACACGGCAAACATTTGTCGAGCCGAGTTTGCACTTCCTGGTAAGGTAGTTTCATTCAACCAGACACTCAGTGACGACCACTGTTTAGTTACAAAGTCTTTTATTCCAATGTCTCCGAGACTATGGGTGGAGATTCTGCTGTCATCTCAATTGATAAGTGTTTCTATCCATCCTTTCAATATCACAAGTAGCCGACACAAATACAGCACGAAATGTGCAGAAACAAGACCTATCAATGATACTAATACAATTACTTGTATGGAAGTGCAACAAGGTTAATAAAGGACAACGATTAACTTTCCTTATGTCTTTGTTAAACGTTTTATATTTTTGGAATCCTTGGGTGAAAGATTCCTTAAGAAGTTTACTCTCAAATATGTACGAATGTGACGAATTAGCCAATGTTATTGGCCAAGGCATCAAGTAATACCCATACTGTTAGCTACTAGTTTACTACAAGAGCCAATATTTAGGATAAAATTGCTTTATTTGCTTGTTAATTCGTTAAAAAAGTGATAAAATCTCCTTGATTTTTCTTTACAAACAACTGAGACTAAGCAAATTGTAAAGTTTTGTTTGTTAAAAATAGGCGATTAACAGACAGCTTATGGTGTTTGATGGTTCCTTATTAACATTGCTTTCAAGACTCTTGATTATCTAGCGATCTCCAAGTCAATAGATCACCAAAATTTTGTTAGTAACTAAGGCTATAAACATCTTCAAAATCTCGTTACTGCTTGAAGTCTAATAGATCGTCCAAATCTTGTTACTGATTTAGGTCTTATAGATCGACCAAATCTTGTTACTGATTGTGGTCTAATAGATCGTGCAAATCTTGTTACTGACTGAGGTCTAATAGATCCTTGAAACTTTGTAACTGATTGAGCTCTGAGAGACGGTATAAATCTTTTAACTGGTTGACGCCTTAGTAAGTTTGCAAATGTTTTCAGTGTCTCCGAGGCAATATTCTCTTCATCTCTTTTCCATTGGTTGCTGTATCTATTTTCAGACACTTGATCACCATTCCGTCTCAATAAGCTGCTGCGATCAATTTGATTTGAAATTCCCTCGTTTGCATCAAATAATCGCAACCGGCGAAAGTGTGTTCTGGTAGTGAAGGAAGGTTTTAACTCCACCTCCCCAAAGGTACATAGAAAAGCCAACAGTCTCCACAGAAATACGACTTGGATGTGAAAAAACATTTTCATAACAAAAATGACAAACTTACGTTTAGAAATATACTGTGCTATTAGCAATAGTGTGCTGGCACTTGATTTTTTATTTGGTTGAACAGTGATGATCTTAGGTTCGTTTTATTATGTTTTGGATGAACGACAATCAATTTTCAGCTGCTCGCAAGAGCGCATTTTCGGATTATTAGCGAATTGATTTCATACTACTCTACGTCGATTAACCTTACCTTGCCTATCATGGTACCATGACAATAGCGCACATTGGACGTCACGTTACTGTGTTTGAGACACTGACGCAATCATTTTACGATACGAGGAAGGTGTGACGACAACGAAGCATACTTAATTTAACAGTTAAACCTTAATCAACAAGTGGCCATTATCCAGGCATAGATCGCTTAGTCTTCAAGGTTTATCTTATGTTTCTCTTAATAATGAAAAAAAATAACAATTCCAGGGTTGGTAACTAGTAACACGGAATCCATCAGGAAATTGAGTGATTTTAATTTTTAGTGAACAAAAACCTTGTACCAGAATAATTTAAACAATATCGCATTCTTTTTTACATTTTTAAAGGGCTGTAGATATAATTAGTTACCTGTAATAACATCAAAGACCACTTATTACAGGAGCCCGAGAAAATAAATGTCAAATTTCACAAGAATTGTGAAAACCCAGGTAAAATTCTGAAAATTTCATGTGTAAGGTGTCATTTTGTGAAATTTGACATATATGTTCTCGGGCTCTCATAAGAAAATTTATTTGGTGTTATTACTGATAACTAATTACATTTATAGCTCTTCAGAAAATGTAAAAAAGAATGCGATATTGTTTGAATTATTGTGGTACAAGGTTTTTGTCCACTGAAAATTAAAGCTTTCGAAATTTGTTTTCTTGGGCTCGACCCATAACTACCTTTTCTTTGGAGTTATTTCATCCACGAAAAATGTAAAAAAGGATGCTATATGCTTGAAATTATTCTGGTATAAGGTTTTGGTCCACAGAAAATTAAAGTTACTCAGTTTCTAAATGGATTCCGTCCTAAAAAAGGAAATAATTCCAAACTGTTAAATATGCTCGTAGTAATTGTAATATTGCGCAACAACCGTTGACAATCAATGCAATAGCACATTATTTATATGGATTATAAAGTTAGAACAGCAGGAAACTGCGTTTGAAAGTCTTCTTTTCGGGTATTAAGAATAATAGACGCATGATTGTGAACTATATTAACAAAAACAATTGGGGCGGTAGCATTAAAACATGAACTTTCTTAAGAATGTTTCGATATTCCAAATGATTGTTTATAGTTAAAATGTGATAAACACCAGGGCATACTAAAACTAGCCTGCGAACAGCAGACGACCGGAAATACGTCTGCTGTTCGCAGGCTAACTAAAACAGGCGTACCTTCTAACAACCGGATGTTACAATAAAAGCAGTTATACTTAATATACATAGCTTTACAAAAACTAAGACAAACGACGCACAATTAGTGCTGGTTTTCACATGACGTCATAAAAAAAAACAAGAGAATTATCAATCCTCCCGAGTTTTTGTTTTCATGAAGTAAAAGGGCAATTAAAAGCTTGTTTTCCAGCCACTATGTTGGTAAGATTTAATAGGACATCTGACTTGGACTTAAAAATCGTTTTTTGTTGTCAAAAATTGGAATTTGATTTCGAAAGTCGGAGTTTGTTTTCAAAAAGCGGAGTTTGGAGTTTTCGAAAATCGGAGTTTGACAATACAGTCGTAGGTGTTTGTTTTCAAAAATCGGATGGTTAAATCGCCACTACATTTGTCGGCAAGATTTCGTTAACTAAAGTCGACGAACACAAAAAATCCGGTATGATTCGTTATTTTGGCCCCCCTTTTAGACAGAGGAATGTAACCGATAAATTATAACGTGTAAATTGTCTGCAACCGAGGACTATCGGCTCTTATAACCGGCCTTTATAGCATAAAATTATACTTCGGGGCTGTTCACTTGGTTTAAAAAATGAACGTTGTGTATGACTGGGTTATTTTTGGGGGGAAGAATATGTTTTTCAAGCCCTAATCCACTGTGGTCAAAGGTGCATGATTTGGGTGCACATATAAGGCTGTTAACTCGATGAAAGATTTGTTTCATGCAAACTATTTTTTCTCGAAAATCAATTAGCCTTTCCCCCAAAAATCATATGTATCTTCCCTAACGTAAAGTGATTTGAAGATTACAACATTATTGTTTGATTTTTAAAAATAATACGTTTATAGACGAGAACTTCACTTTTAGCCATGGCTAAATCTATATATTAGATCGTCCATATCTTGTAACTAATTGAGGCCCAATAGATCGTCCAAATCGTGTAACTAATTGAGGTCTAATAGATCGTCCATGTCTTTTATCTGTCCAGTCCAAGTATTATTACTTGATAACGTTCAAACCTTGATGGCAAACGGTTTTTCAAATTCTCTGCAGGTTTTGCTGAGATCGTCCAAATCGTCGTAACTTCAATAAATAGATCGTCCAAATCTTGTAACTAACTGAGGTCTAATGGATCGTCCAAATCTTCTAATTGAGGTCTAATAGATCGTCCAAATCTTCTAACTAACTGAGGTCTAATAGATCGCCCATGTCTTTTACGTGACTGTTGTCTCGTAGACAGTCCAAGTATTGTTACTGAGTGAGGTCTGATAGGTCGTTCAAACCTTGATGCTTGAGGTTCAAACGGTTTTTCCAAATTCTCTGCAGGTTTTGCTGAAGGGATGTACTACTAAAGGTTATCGCAAAGATAATAAAAAGACCATTTCAAACAAGGCTGAACACTACAGTAATTTGTTTACTTCATCTATAACCATAACTATATCATTCATTTTAATGGAAACAGCCATAGTTATTACAACAGGTTGTAGCACTGAGTATCCTACGCAGAGGGGAGGGGGAGGGACAAAATACTAACTAATTTACGCTACATGAGAATGGAGCTACAAGGTCTATCTTGACCTCGTCCCATTAAAAAAGATAGTCAAATATGTCAAAAAGCGACCTTTTTTTCTCGCGCTTTTTTTTCCCTAAAACTACTGACAGTCTTTCCTCAAGGTACAAAACTATGTTATTGTTAAGTGTATTTCCCTGTTTTAATAAGCCATTTCTGAGTTCCAAAAACTCACTTTCAGAACGAGGCTAAGGGCAAAAACCTCACTGTGAAAACGAGTTTCATTTGCACGAGAATTAAAAATCAATTTCGTATCGATGGCTTTGCACTTAGCCTCGCTTTGAAAAAGAGGCTTCGGACAACTCCGAAGTGACCTTTTCCTGGCAACGACGAACTCCTTCGACAGTCTATGGCACGAACGTCATCACTACGAATAACAGGAAAAGGCAAAGGGTAAATGGTCCTCTGGACACCAGACTACTGCTTTCAGGTCGCGGTGTTCCTGTGAATTAATTACAATTTGGCATATTAGTTAACGAACTTACCCAAAAACATCGCGTTCTCTTAGAAAGCAAGTAAACCTGCTACAAAAAATGCTTATAAATTTGACGTTTTATCATATCATTACTCTGAAGGACTGTTTATTTCAAATTTCATGTCAGTCACGTCCATATCACGAGGTTTTTTAAAAATTCACATTGCGCGTGGGTCTATTTCGTGTTTCTCATGTATATTTATTTCTATCTATCGGGTTGATGAATGTCATCAGTAACGTTGGCAACAAACCCGCTACAAGACAAACTTAGCCCGGTTGTTTATGCGGCCGTTTGGCGATGGAAATTTTTATTTAAAGAGAAAATGGAAGGAAATTAAACTATTAGTTTCTTAATAAGAGCGAAAATCGGGGTAGAAAACGTTTGTATTGTATCTCGCTTTGCAGACTAGGTTTGTCGGCTGTCTGCCATTTTTCTTCAAATACGATGAGATGCCTCTTTAAGAGAAAAAGAAGCCTCTGTGGAGCAGACACGAGCCCAATAATCACATGCGATGGTATTACGCAAATGCTGAAAAAGCTCCTTTTTCCGGATTTATCAAAAGTGGTACTGACATAACTCACCTCGGCGAATCCTGAACTTGATTTGATTGGGAAGGTTACAGTCTCGTTCTGCGTAGCAATGGTAAACAGGTTAAATTTATCCAGTGAGCTTAAGAGGCCTAAATTTATTTAATTTTCAGTCAAACCCCGCTTTACGTGAACCTCCTTAAGGCCGAGGGGGACACCTATCTATGAA